CCTTTCTATATCTCTCTATCTGTCTATCTATCTATCTATCTACCTGCCTACCTACCTCTGTGACTCACTCTCCTTCTTTTTCTCTTTTACCCTCTCTCTCTCTCTCTCTCTCTCTCTCTCTCTCTCTGTGTGTGTGTGTGTGTGTGTGTGTGTGTGTTTGTGTGTGTGTGTGTGTGTGTGTTTCGTCTTAAACTATAATATATTCTGTTTTGCCTTTAATTATCAGAAACGCACATCCATGAAACGTTACAATAAAGCAGATAGCCATTTACCTGAAGTATGTGCCAGTTGGCATACAAATTTTCTTCAATATTGGCTGCTTTTTCTTACTGTGATTTCCACAGGAAGCCCAATCATAAACCACCGAAACGGAAAGAAGACAGGGACGCCAGGAAATAAATAACCTTTAAAAAAAAAAACTCCAACAAACAAATAAATCGAAATGCGTGCTCCAAGTCTCCACCACCGAACGATTCCAAAATTGTTTTTATACCTTTTCAGCTAGCTTTTACGCTGGTTTATATTCCAGCGTTTTTATTCATCCAAAGCATGAACGCTTCCTGATTTTGTTCCTTGCAAACAACAGAATCGGAATTGCACGCATTATCTGCAAAATGCCTGGATTATTTCTTCTTAAGCATGCGATGGGAGCCTGGGTGAACTGTTGATACTTGTTTAGAAAACGACAGAAAACTGTTTATTAACCCAGGAAATTACATTGAACACTGAACTTCCTCTTCAGGAAATCAAATGTCGTATTTGAGATGTTAACTAGCCCCGGGTCCCTCGCGAAGCTTTCAAGGGTATCCTGAAACAAGGGATCTAAACCTGATCCTGAACTGGTGATCGAAAAAAACAAAAAACAGATGCAGTTCTTATCCTTGATAACAATGGAAAGGGGGGGGGGTAGAAGGAAAAGGAGGACCGTGACGATGATGAGGGCGAGAAGAAACAACAATAAGAACATTATTTATAATTGCAACAGCTGCAGCAATAGCAGGGTTGTGTTGTTCGTCCTTCACTTATGAAGATGATCCTGACTTCACAACTTGTTCTGTTGACGGTGACTGTGGGTCCGGAGATGGCTGATTTGGCCTATCCGGGCTCGAAACTCTCGTCCACATTGTGGGCAAGGATAGTCGGCTGTTGGACTTGTGGTGGAAGCAGGTCTAGACTTGCGCATGTTGCGTTTTTGTATGGCCTCAGCGATGCTCTTGGCTTCTACTGCTTTGGCTCCCTTCCGCCACGCGGGACGATCTAGGGTCAGTGCTCCCCACTAGAGCTGGAGTCTGCTCGATTAATTGAAGACTTGCGAGCAGCGGACGACTTGCGCCAGAGGCTTGCGAGTAGGCTTGTGCTTAGCTTTGCCTCCCGCTCGCTACCGGGGGGGGGGGGGGGGGGACTTCCGGTGAGTTGTGACATTGGGAGTGTAAAACATCTACAAAATAGGCTACATACACACCATACATAAGCCAATCACAACGACCCCTGGAGTTTTCCATTCTAAGGTAATCTAAGTCTACTTATTACTACCAGATACCTAGGTTACTCTGTTACTACAATACCTCGCTTCCTCTCACTCATCCACTTGCTCAGCTCATCAACGGCGCGAAGTTAAAAATAGCTTCGGCTCTTTACGTCTTGCGGGGATCAAGGACTGGTGATGGGTCTCATTTAAATATTGAGAAATGCCTAAGCGTCTCAAACAGCTTCTCCCTATCCAACCAACCGTAACCGCCTTTGGTGGTCCCTGTCCTCACTGACACGGCTCTGGCGAATGGCGAGTCGTTGGCGCCAACAAACCAACCCACCCCCCTCCCGTTTCCTAGAGGGGTTAAAACAACAGGATGGGAGCAGGTGTGGCCCCACAAGGTGCAGGAGGCAGAACCAAAACGATGCATGGTAAGTGCTATGCTCCTCACTAACACACCCCTACTCTCCCTTGAGTGGGTTTCTAATCTGCCTAACACCTCTACTGCTTTTTATCAACACACCCTCTGTGGCTGAGAAGGTACCAGCCAGTTTGAGAGAGTCTGGGTGCAGGGGATGGACCGAGCGGAATGCCTGACTTGCTTTCTGGCCGTGAAACCTCTTAGTAAAGGCACAACGACCCAGGACGTTCCCCACTTGGCCGATACCTCATGAAAGAGTAGAAAACTTAAGCCAGTAGCCATTGTGTGGCATAGGCTATTGGAATGGGCAACGTGAACCCTACCGGAATTACACGGTCACAGGGCAGTTAGGTTTTTCTAGTCTCATGAAAAACCCTCTTACCCTCCTATCCTCAACATGAATGGCCCCTTATCAGGGTGGGCAGGCAGTCCACAGACACCCCAGTCCACAACACCTCTACGTCTTGCACCAAATCAAGCACAGCCTCTCCCTTCCTCCACTGTTCAGAGTTTACACTCCGAGCGGTCTTGCTGCTTGCTGCTGAAGCAAGTGGCATGACAGGTTGCGAGCAAGTCATGGGAGCCAAGGCAAATCATGGGGGCCAAGAGACTTGCCGGGCTACGAGCAAGTCATAGGGCACAAAGCAAGACATGGGACGCAAAGCAAGTCATCAGACTTGCTGTGCTGCGAGCGAGATTTGAGACTTAACGGCCGTCCGCTGCTCGCCTGCCTTCGATTAATCGAGCAGACTCCAGCTCTATCGTGCAGTAACATTGTGAGCGGGGTTTCTCCCCCCCCCCCCCTCTCTCTCTCTCTCTTTCTCTGTCTGTCTGTCTGTCTGTCTCTCTCTCTCTCTCTCTCTCTCTCTCTCTCTCTCTCTCTCTCTCTCTCTCTCTCTGTCTCTCTTTGTCTCTCTGTCTCTCTGTCTCTCTGTCTCTGTCTCTGTCTCTGTCTCTGTCTCTGTCTCTCTCTCTCTCTCTCTCTCTCTCTCTCTCTCTCTCTCTCTCTCTCTTTCTCTCTCTCTCTCTCTCTCTCTCTCTCTCTCTCTCTCTCTCTCTCTCTCTCTCTCTCTTTTCTGACGTAAGTGGCTTCGTGGATTGCAAGCTGGGTGGAGAAGATGAGGGGGTCTGACACGAGTGGCTTCGCGAATTGCTAGTTGGTGTGGACTTAAAGCTTAGGCTAGACTCAACGTATCATGCAGGTGATTTGATTTGGTGATTTGACCTAGTGTTTTGAGGCTTGTAGCCTAAACTAGGGGATTGCGAGCACGAGCAGGTTTGCTACCGAGGTACAGCTCTACTTCCAACCAGTCGTTCAGGATTCCAAGTTCCTTTAGTGAGACTTTGAGGCAGTCCTTGAAACTTTTTATCTGCCCTCCAACTGAGCACTTGCCATGAAGCAGCAATAGAAATATAAAAAACATCAGCGGTATCAGTAGCAGCAACAGTAAAATAGATAACAGCAGCAGTAACAGAAGTAGCAACAGTAACATGTAACAGCAGCAGCAGCAGCAGCAGCAGCAGCAGTAGCAGTTGCGATCGCCGTAAAACTTACTAAACTAAAACAACAGTAGAATTGGCAGCAGCAAAAACAGGAACAATAATGGATTCCAGTTCAAATACGACTGTAACTTAAACAGATCTACTTCTGAGAATTCAGAAACATCACAAGATTTTGATTTCTCCTATCTTATATGTCCTAGACTTCGGGAACTTAAAATTGCTGAATTGGGGGTTGCAGAATACTTCCGACGAGAAACAATTGTATAGAAAAACATTCACTAGTAAAAGGAGGGCGGATCTCAATAAACTAGGTACTATGATTAAGAACACTTAATCTTTGACTTCTCAGTCTCAGATCTTCGTATTCTTACAACCAAGAAAGGAATGGATTGCTTTTTTATTCAAACTTTAATATTTCCATTCTTCCTGGTTTCTTGTAAATAGTGTTATAAACATGAATGGCATGGATATATTATTGACCTTCCTAAAGGCGAACTTTTACACTATAGTACACATTTTGATGCCCCCCCCCCCCCCCCCCCCCTTTTGGGGGGGGGGGGGGGTTATACCCAACACTCTTCTTGTACACATTACAATGTAAATGCTTATTTTCCTAAAAAGCAAGCAAGCCGGCCTATGGGTAGCCTCAAAGCCGAAGGTGTGAAAGAATAGGATAAAAACAAAATTAATTATAGCTATTTCGGTTTTCAGAGCGTTTTTTATGGGAGGGGGGTGGTCTTTGTTTTGTTCATAATGGTTCAGAAAAGTAATCAGTCTGCATTATGACAATCATTTTCCTTTTTTTTTGGGGGGGGGGTGTTGGTTTATTATTATTTTATTTATTTTTGGGGTGGGGTTCGAGGGTGTTGCTCTTTTTTGTTTTGTTTTGTTTTGTTTTGCTTTGTGTGTGTGTTTTGATTTGTTTTCGTGTTTTAGGGTTGTTCTTTTTTTCCGTTTTCCTGTCTTTATCTTACGCACGAACTGTTTTGTTCAAATACTGATTTCCAACCTTTTTGCACTTGGCTGTCATTAACCAAAACTGCTGAGAATGCTGTCTGTCTCGGTCTGTCTGTCGGCCACGTCAACCGCTAACCCAATAAAATCGGGAACTTAATTAGCCTTGATAAGTGACCTTGTCTTTTTTCCCAAATTAAATACGCATCAGGACCATGGAAAACAATAAATATGAGGGGAAAAAATGCTCACGAGATCAGGCCATGCCTCTTAGTAAGGGCACGTCTCAGTAACAAAATACGGGGCAGAGGATGAGGGGTGTTACGGTGGGGGGGGGGGGCTTAAGAGGCCAAAAGCTGTTTAAAAGCGGGGACTCTCTGAAACGAGAAAGGTATTTATCATATTTTGTTTACTAATGAACACCCCCAATCCCACCCCTCCCCCACCCCACCCCCAACCTCTTTTCCCTCCCTATAGTGTTAATTAAGTGCGTGCCAACTTAGATGCCAACAATCATATCGTGACAAGGCAGCTTTGACTTAAGTTCAAGTTTTTACGCTATCAGATGTAGGTCGAGGTATGTCCGTACAGTCACGCAAGGCTGTTGTGGTGAAACTGCGTGAAACTCTGTAAAGGAAAGTGAAAGGAGCCGGGAAAGGGGGGGGGGGGTCGGGGAGGGGGGGGGGAGTTGGAAGGCAAACAGCAACGCGGGAAGGCATTGGTGAGTGAAATGAGATTACAATACATGAACGTGTGTTGTCAGACGAAGCTTGTGGGGAAAGGATCATTAACGTCTAGCTCTTGTAAATCTTGCTGCTATTGTTCTCGCGTTTTCCAAGTGACATAATAATATTATTATCGTCATTATTTGCAATTAGGCTTACGATTAATAATGAAGGCGATGATAACGATAATGATGCGGATAATTATAATAATAATAATAATAATAATAATAATAATAATAATAATAATAATAATAATAATAACAATAATAATAATAATAATAATAATAATAATAATAATGATGATGATGATGATGATGATGAATTATTTCCTTGCTTGTATTCATTGGTCTATTCCTATTTCTCGCTGCTGCTGCTGCTATTATAGCGCTTGTTGTATTGTTGATAACGACGATGCAAATGTTTTAAAACTAAAACGACATAATAAGCAGTTACCTTGTTGACAAAAAAAATCCGTAGTTACCGATGGTAGAAGGAGCGTGGCAGGAATAGTGTTGCTATCGCAATCAATTAATATTCTTTCTTGGTATCTGGCTTGTTTACTGATAAGGGACAGTGCAGCTGTACGCGTAATTATACTTAAGTAACCATATTTTGTCAATGAAAACATAAAAGACATGCGC